TGGACGCGTCACTATCTACTGTACGATTAGATTAGATGGGGCGGCAGCGCACGGCACAGCTCGGGCCCTGCTGACACAGCCGCTCTGACTCACCGGCCCCCGTGGCCGCGTCGGCATGCTGCGCACAGACCAGCTGCGCACGGACCAACGTGCACAGCCTGCCCTAATCTCCCCATGTATATAAGCCGGCCTCTGCTGCCCTAGGGACCTCAGTTTCGACCTCTTGTCCCTAGGTCAGTAAGCTCCTGTATTCTCTCATTTACCTTACACTAACTAATACATTTTCTTGTCCCTAGCCTTAGGTTCGAGCCTAGCTCACCATCGCTTCGGTAAGAACCAGTCGAACGCCCCCAGCTTTCAGGTTTTCCTCTGTCGCTTGACCTCAAGTCGCGACACCTCGATTAAGTCAGCTTCGTCCCACTCTACCTCCACCGGATCATCTTCGGGCTCGAAGTCCGGGAGTACCTTACTCCGGCAGGCACCTATAACCGACTGTTTGGATTTTGGCGAACGCCTGCGCGCCGTGGGCCTGTCCCCCGTATCACGCACAGTCGTTGCTTGCTCCATTCGGTTAGTTTTCCTGGCACTGCACGTCTCAGGGCATCGTGATAGCTTTAGGGATCCCGACTCCCAATCGATCTCGGAGTTGTGCTCTCGTAGCCAATCCAACCCGACGATCACATCTTCTGGACCTATGTCCGTGACCGTAAACACCGTCTTCTCGACGTGTTCTCCTATCTGCATCTGTAGCACGGCTACCTCCGAGATGCTTCCGTCTTTATTGAGTGTTCCATCGATGTTGTAAAGCGGAATTGGCTCTTTCAATTTCCGCGTTCGTACTCGATTCTCCGTAATGAAACACTTGTTGATGAACTTCGTAGTGGCTCCACTGTCCACCATTGCAACTATGTCTTTGTGCCGTCTTTCTCCTTTGAGGCGCACTGGGATGTGGAAGTGCTGGGACCCGTGGTCCAACTCGTAAACACTCGCGGTCGCCAATACATTGTACAAATTGTTATTACGAGGTCCGACGCGTGCGGCATGAAGCGCGGACCGGATTAAAAACCCTCCTCCTTCATCGCCCGATAGTGCTCGAGCTCCTCGCGCATCAACTTCACCTGTGCCATTAAGTCCGCCAGCTCCGATTGCTCGGACTTCGCTGAAGTGGCACTTATACTTGCCGAGGGTGATGTCGTGACAGGGGCGCTTGTCCCGGCCTGGGTAGAGCCCGAGGCGACCGTAGCCCGCGCGTCAGCGCGTTTTGTGTAAGGCTTGTCCTTACAATTGGGGCACTCGAAGCGTCGGTACCCTTGCTTCCCACAGCCAAAGCAAGTGCCGGGGAAGTTTCCTTTTCTGACGGCTGCATTAATGCTGGCCAAAGCTGCGTGTGACTGGGGTGCACCACCACGTGCCCCTCCGCGTCCTCGGCCTCGGGCCGAGAAGAAGTTGTTCAACTCGGGCCGACGGGCCCGGCTGATGTCGAGGATCTGCTCGACCTCAGTGGCTCGCTTTTCAGCGACTCGCCATGTAGTGAAGGTCTCAAGCTCGATCTTTCGATAGATGCGGGAGAGGATGCCGCTCAGGTACTTGTTGCGTAGCTCCAGGTCCCCATACCCAGAGTGATCCGCCGGACCCTTGAACAGCGCGGAGAACTCCGCAGCGGTGCGTTTTTCGTGGACCGACTTGTCCGCGCAGAGCTTCGCCAGCTCTACTTGTGCTGCCGCTTCGTCGTCGAGATTTCCGAAGCGGGCCTTGAAGGCAGCGGTGAAGGCCGCTTCGTTCCTGAAGGGGGTTGTGACCCCTTGTACACCCATCTGCACCAACGCGAGTTGGGCGAAGTAAGGCGTGGCCCAGGCGCGGGCGTCGCCATCGAGCAGGCTCAGCGCAACTTGTACCTTGAGTTCAATGGTCGTCAATGACGTGTTGATCAACCAATAGATACGGAGTTGCGACAAGAACCTGTCGCATTCGATGACGGTTTTGCCGTCATAGCGGAGGGGGAGAAGGAGCTTCAGGGTCTCCTTGTCGGGGGCAGTCGTGGGAGAGGACATTATCGGCGTCGGGGGGGACAGAGGACGCTGCGGGGGCGGAGGCGGCTGTGGTGGCCCTCCGCTGGTCGAACTTCGGGAGGAACGAGTGCTCGAGCGGCCTCTCGGCGGAGTCGGCGGTGAAGGCGCCGGAAAAAGTTCGGTGGGGGGGTCACGTATGTCAGGGACTGCTGATGCGGGGGAGAGCGCTGTCGGCGAGGTGGGCTGAGCAGAATCCGCGGACTCGGACTCCGAGACTCCTTCTTCACTCTCACCCTCCTCAGACTCAGGCTCTGACGCAGGGTCTGGAGGGAGATCTCCTCGCGCTTGATTTGGATCGGTGACGACAGTTTGAGGAAGTCTGGAGCTGGGGGAGACAGGGCGAGAATGCCATGAAGCGGATCGAGATGCGAGGGTGCTGCAGGGACCGAGCGGGTGTTGCGCTCGTCGGATCGCTTTGTAGCGTGGGTAATCCTCAGTGATCGATTGGGGTGTCCGATTAGGGCACGGCTGCTGCTCGCAACGGTAGATGACAGTCTCAGGGCCGTCTGGGATGTAGATGTCGATGAGGTCCTGAGAGTTGAATGCGTGAACTTGGCCTTGGCAGGCAGCCACATTGGATGGAGGGAGGAAGGGGAGGTGCATGTACTAAAATGGCCGTACTACACTAGCTTACGCTACGGCACCCAAGAAGACCCTGAGGTTCGCAGTTCACGTGGGGCCCAGTACTGCTTTTGGCTAGTATGCAGCAGGAACCTAGACCACGCGTCCGTGAGGACAAACACCGCCCACTGTAGTGCAGGTGTTGAAGAGTTCGTTCCTCTAGGGGTGGCAATGTATGTAAGGCTACCTACGTATCATATGTACCGTAGGGTATCGTAGGGGTGCGCACCACCCGACCTGTGGGAAAGGAAAGTGAATGTGAAGAGTCCCGAGAGGACGCCGGCGGCTTGGGGAGTTTCGACCTAATGTCGCGACTTGAGGTCAAGCGACTAGAGAAAACCTAAGGGCTGGGGGCGTCCGACTGGGTCTTACCGAAGCGATGGTGAGCAAGGCTCAAACCTAAGACTAGGGACAAGAAAATGTATTAGTTAGTTAGGGTAAGAAAGAATACAACTGAGGGCTTACTGACCTAGGGACAAGAGGTCAAAACTGAGGTCCCTAGGGCAGCAGAGGCCGGCTTATATACATGGGAAGATAAGGGCAGGCTGTGCGCGTTGGTCCGTGCGCAGCATGCTGACGCGGCCCTGGGGGTCGGTGAGTCAGAGAGGCTGTGTCAGCGGGACCCGAGCTGTGCCGCGCACTGCCGCCCATCTAATCTAATCGTACAGTAGATAACGACGCGTCCATATCGGGCAGGTAGTACAGAGGTCGCAGGTTCGAGCCCGCAAAAGGGAAAAAATTAAAAAACGGCTAGACGCCGTACCAACTTGTGACATTGGTGGCGATGAGGTGGTGATGGATCCCGCAAAGCTAAAAGGAATCAATGAGTGGCCGGTGCCCCGGAACAAGAAAGACATTCAGAAGTTCCGGGGGTTCTCCAATTTCTACCGCCGCTTCATTAAGGACTTCGCTAAGATCTCGCGACCACTCGACCGGCTCACAGGGAATGACCCATGGCACTGGGGCGAGGAAGAGCAGCACGCCTTCGATGAACTCAAGCGGCTCTTTGCGATGACTCCAGTCTTGGCGCTATACGACCCTAACCGGGAGACGTGCATTGAAGTCGACGCCTCAGAATATGCCACTGGCAGCGTGTTGATGCAGAAGCAGGACGACGGCAAATGGCATCCCATTGCCTTCAGATCCCATGCGATGGATCCGGCACAGCGGAACTACGAGATCTACGATAAGGAGATGCTCGCGATCATTGAGGCACTAGATGATTGGCGCCACTATCCTTGTCACGACTTGACACGGCGCCTAGCCATTTTTTAATTTTTCCTTTTCGCGGGCTCGAACCCGCGACCTCTGTACTACTTGCCCGATACGGACACATCATTATCTACTGTACGATCAGATTAGATAGGACGGCAGTGCACGGCACAGCTCGGGCCCTGCTGACGCAGCCGCTCTGACTCACCGGCCCCCGGGGCCGCATCGGCATGCTGCGCACAGACCAGCTGCGCACGGACCAACGCGCACAGCCTGCCCTAAATCTTCCCATGTATATAAACCAGCCTCTGCTGCCCTAGGGACCTCAGTTTCGACCTCTTGTCCCTAGGTCAGTAAGCTCTCCTGTACTTACTTCTTTTACTTACTAACTAATACATTCTTGTCCCTAGCCTTAGGTTTGAGCACTGCTCACCATCGCTTTGGTGAGATCTAGTCGGACGCCCCCAGCCTTTCAGTTTTCTCTAGTCGCTTGACCTCAAGTCGCGACATTAGGTCGAAACTCCCCAAGCCGCCGGCGTCCTTTCGGGACTCTTCACATTCACTTTCCTTTCCCACAGGTCGGGTGGTGCGCACCCCTACGGTACATTACGATACGTAGATAGCGTACATACATCGCCACCACTTAAGGGAACGAACTCTTCAGTACCTGCACTTCAGTGGGTGGTACTTGTCCTCACAGACGCGTGGACTAGGTTCCTGCTGCATAATAGTCAAAAGCAGTACTGGGCCCCACGTGAACTGCGAACCCTAGTGTCTTCTCGGGCGCCGTAGCGTAAGCTAGTATAGCACGGCCATTGTAGTACACACACCTCCCCGTCCTCTCCCCATCCATCGTGGCTGCCTGCCAAGGCCAGATCCACACATTCGACTCTCAGGATCTCATCGACGTCTACATCCCAGACAGCCCTGAGACTGTCCTCTACCGTTGCAAGCAACAGCCGTGCCCAAATCGGACACCCCGATCGATCGAGGAAGATTACCCTCGTTACAAGGCGATCCGACGAGCGCAACACCCGCTCAGACCCCGAAGTACCCTCGCGTCTCGATCGGCCTAGCGGCACTCTCGCCCTGTCTCCCCTACCTCCCGCCTCCCTCAAACTGTCGTCGATCAAGCACGAGGAGATCTCCCTCCAGACCCTGCACCAGAGCCTGAGCCTGAGGAGAGTCACAGTGAAGAAGGAGTCTCGGAGTCCGAGTCCGCGGATCCTGCTCGGCCCGCCTCGCCGACAGCGCTCGCCTCCACATCAGCAGTCCCTGACGTACGTAACCCCTCCACCGAACTTTCTCCGGCGCCTTCACCGCCGACTCCGCCGAGAGGCCGCTCGAGCACTCGTTCCTCCCGAAGTTCGACCAGCGGAGGGCCACCACAGCCGCCTCCGCCCCCGCAGCGTCCTCTGTCCCCCCCGACGCCGATAATGTCCTCTCCCACGACTGCCCCCGACAAGGAGACCCTGAAGCTCCTTCTCCCCCTCCGCTATGATGGCAAAACCGTCATCGAATGCGACAGGTTCTTGTCGCAACTCCGTATCTATTGGTTGATCAACACGTCATTGACGACCATTGAACTCAAGGTACAAGTTGCGCTGAGCCTGCTCGATGGCGACGCCCGCGCCTGGGCCACGCCTTACTTCGCCCAACTCGCGTTGGTGCAGATGGGTGTACAAGGGGTCACAACCCCCTTCAGGAACGAAGCAGCCTTCACCGCTGCCTTCAAGGCTCGCTTCGGAAATCTCGACGATGCAGCGGCAGCACAAGTAGAGCTGGCAAAGCTCTACGCGGACAAGTCGGTCCGTGAAAAACGCACCGCTGCGGAATTCTCCGCGCTGTTCAAGGGTCCGGCGGACCGCTCTGGGTATGGGGACCTAGAGCTACGTGACAAGTACCTGAGCGGCATCCCCTCCCGTGTATACCGAAAGATCGAGCTCGAGACTTTCACCACGTGGCAAGACGCTGACAAGCGCGCCACTGAGGTCGAGCAAATCCTCGACATTAGCCGGGCCCGCCGGCCCGAGCTAAATAACTTCTTCTCGGCCCGAGGTTGAGGACGCGGTGGGGCACGTGGTGGTGCACCCTCGACACACGCAGCTTCGGCCAGCATCAATGCGGCCATCGGAAAAGGCAACTTCCCTGGCACATGCTTCAGCTGTGGGAAGCAAGGGTACCGACGCTTCGAGTGCCCCAACTGTAAGGACAAGCCTTACACAAAACGCGCTGACGCGCGGGCTACGGTTGCCTCGGGATCCACCCAGGCCGGGACAAGTGCCCCCGTCACGACTACACCCTCGGCAAGTATAAGTGCCGCTTCAGCAAAATCCGAGCAATCGGAGCTGGCGGACTTAATGGCACAGGTGAAGTCGATGCGCGAGGAGCTCGAGCATTATCGGGCAATGAAGGAGGAGGGTTTTTGATCCGGTCCGCGCTTCGTGCCGCACGCGTCGGGCCGCGAGTATCTTCGTGTAACAAGTATAACATATTGTCTACTGCGATGGTGTATGAATTGGACCAGGGGTCCCAACACTTCCACATCCCAGTTCGACTTCAAGGAAAAAGACGGCACAAGGACGTAATCGCTATGGTGGACAGTGGAGCCACCACGAAGTTTATCAACAAGCGATTCATTGTAGAAAATAAGGTGCAGACGCGGAAGTTGAAGGAACCAATTCCGCTGTATAATATTGACGGCACCCTGAATAAGGACGGAAGCATCTCGGAGGTAGCAGTGCTACAGATGCACATAGGAGAACACGTCGAGAAGACGGTGTTCACGGTCACGAACATCGGTCCAGAAGATGTGATCGTTGGGTTGGATTGGCTACGTGAGCACAACCCTGAGATCGATTGGGAGAAGGGCTCCCTCAAATTGTCGCGATGCCCTGAAACGTGCAGTGCCAGGAGGACTGGCCGAATGGAGCCAGCAGCGACTGCGCGTGATACGGGGGACAGGCCCACGGCGCGCAGGCGTTCGCCAAAATCCAAACAGTCGGTTATAGGTGCCTGCCGGAGTAAGGTGCTCCCGGACTTCGAGCCCGAAGATGATCCGGTGGAGGTAGAGTGGGACGAAGCTGACTTAATCGAGGCCTGGGAGCAAGGTATTACGCTCCCGGGTGCTCCTCAGCTGTTCGTTGCAGCCGGGCATATGTACTCCCAGCTGTTCGCTGAGGAAGAAATCAAAAAGAAGGTCGTTAAGACCGCCGAGGAGTCGGTGCCCAAGCAGTACCACGAGTTCCTGAATGTCTTCTCCAAGGAAGCGTCAGAACGGCTACCCGAAAGGAAGCCTTACGATCACGCGATCGAACTCATGCCCGGCTACTCGACCTTCCACTCTAAGGTATACCCCTTGTCGAACAACGAGCAGGAGGAGCTTGACAAGTTCCTAAAAGAGCAACTAGCGAAGGGCTACATACGGGAGTCGAAGTCGCCCATTTCATCCCCCTTCTTCTTCATCAAAAAGAAAGAAGGGACGCTTCGACCCGTACAAGACTACCGCCGGTTAAACGCGATCACCGTCAAAAATCGCTACCCCTTGCCGCTGATCGCCGAGATGGTGGATAAGCTCCGCGGCGCTACACTCTTCACAAAGTTCGACGTCCGATGGGGATACAATAACGTCCGGATCAAGGCCGGCAACGAATGGAAGGCGGCCTTCGTAACTAACC